GAGAGAGAGAGAGAGAGAGAGAGAGTTGACATGACTGACCAACAAGTGTAGGGTATCTTGAGTTTGTCGTCAGCGTTGATAACTCCCAACAAGTGGTCAATCATAACGATGTGACACTTTTCCAACTCAAACGTCGCTTTATTGAAACACTTGGCGCCCGACATAAACTCGCGACCCTTTCTCGAGCCCTTTTTGCACATACGGTTGACATTGGCTTTAGTCGTGTACATCATTATTGCAAAAAACTGTTTCGGTAAACCCTTTTTGCACCGTTTTGTATAGTTTTCCAATACTTTTAGGTCCGATAATTGGGAACTATATTACAAATTATAAACAAATATAGAGTTAGTTATAAAACAAATCATATAGAATTTAATTGAAAAAATATATACAATTATAAAAATTAATTGTATAAGTTAAATGGGATTTAAATTAATATCTATGCAATTGAATTAATGTAAAAATGTAATTTAAATATTACAAACTTGCAATATTTGTGCATTTCCACCTCGGTCTCTGGGAACCCCCTGCTATTGTTGCCGTAGCCAACCATATGGCCAAACATACTGTCGGCCGTCTTTTCTGACGCCTTATTACAGGCCAATTGTCGACACAAAACATGGTAAACAAAAAGCACACAAAACGCGTATAAAATACACACAAATCTAAGAGAGAATAACATTTTAATAAAATTAAATACAAAATAACATTGAATTAATGTAAAACTAATGGTAAATTAATATTTATTAAACATTTTTCGTGTGCACTTCAATCTCGTTCACTTGAATGCTGTCATAAATTTACTTACATTTTATGTCGGCATTAATTTTTTGCCATAAAAAATCCATTTCTCAGTCAATGATATTTCCCATGAGTTTTGCACACAGAAAGTGATGACCAAAGACCTGGTGAACTCCGCGCCACACAAAACAAACTAGTTTTAAATCCACAGCAACTTCTTGTTTTGATCATTACAATTATATAATGAGATTTCTTATAAAACATTTTATCCATAGAAAAATACATGTAAACTAATTGTTATAATTTAATTCAAACCCTTTACTATTGTAATATTTGTAAAAATAAATTAAATGTTGTAAATAAAATATAATAATTACAATAAAATTAAAATGAGTATAATTAATACAAACGCTATTCAATAATTAAAATGCATTGATATTTAGGCTACGGTTCAGGAAATTGAAAGGCTATTAAATATGAGGGTAAGAGTGCATTTGATTGTGACATTTAGGTCACAATGTGTTATAGCATAGCATTAATTCACTTTCAATTCTCAAAGCATTTATTAAAATTTATAAATTATTTTAATAATCATTGCATTTTTGCTTATGTTTTAATACACACGCATAACATCTAATCCCTACCCCTATTAAACAGATAATACTGAAGTTGAGGCATGGTGGTCAGTTGCCACAAAATGCATTATGATTATATGATATAGTTATTATTGTTATTACAACAATGACACAGGTATAAATTTAATTATTAATAAAGATTTCTAAAACATCAAATACAATAATTAGATTAGATATTGTGTAGACAAAATGTATTTTGTAAGTATTGACATTAATTAATAACAAATAAAGCATAACTACAACTTTTGGACAACAAATTATATAAATTAGAAAATAAACTCAAATGCACACGTTATAATAAATTATTTAATATAATTAATTATGAAAATAAATAGATAAAATAATTTCTACAAGCCAATATAGTGTAAAATAACCTATGACATTAAACTAACTATCATTGAATCAGCTAGGTTTATTTTGAGAATTATTATTACTATCGGCAAACCGGAAGCCGCCCTCCGATACAAACACTTTGAGGGGATTTCGGGCTGAAATGCGGGGCTGAGGGGGGCGTCGGTGGGGCTCCGGGCGGCGCCCAATCGCTATCATACAGTCAATGTTGTAGCGCTCCTTATCAACAGCAAACATTTCGTACGCCCTCTCGTAGTCAAAGCCGGCCATACAGTGTACCACCAAATCGCCGGCATTGGCCTCCAGCGCCAGCGCCATACAGGCGGCCCCGGCGTCGAAGCTATGGGTCGGGTTCGGCAACTCTTTAGTGTTGTCACCCTTTCTGTAAAACAGTCGATGAGAGGCCACCACTACCAGCGCCGACGCCTCCCGACACCACTGCAGGTTCAGGGGCCACACCAGCGACTCAAACTTGGCGTAATTGTCCGTGTTGCGTTTGGCGTACGCGAATCGCCATGGTTGCTGATTGTAGAATGAGGGTGCCCATCTGGCCGCCTCGAATAGGCTCATTAGCTCCCCGTCCGACAGCTCCTGACCCGTCATTTCCCGCGGAGACGTACGGCTCAGGATTAGCGGGTGTATGGAGTGGTCAGCGTTACGGCCCTGTGAGTAGTAATGTAATGTATTGTTAATAAATTAATGACATAATGGCAGCACATCTCTGGTACCGGTGCTCTCGTTTGGTGAGAATGAGATCTTTGAGCAGAAAGTGTTTGAACCAAACTCTCTCTCTCACTCACTCACTCACTCACTCACTCTCAATATATAATACAATATATAATACTGTATATACCTTAAACACCATTCAATGCTGCGCCTACTCGCGGCGATTGCACCTGAAATGTATAATAAATAAGCCAGTTAAAATTGTATTGGCTCAAACAATTACTTATTTTAGTATTTAATTGATTAGAAAATCTAACCTAGCATCATTGCTACTTCCCTATGGAAAGGGAACCGGAATTGCATATCTATTGTAGCGAATCGACTGTTGAGGCCCTTGAAAATGGTGGCAAATCCGGTCCGTTGAACGAGAAAGTGGCCAATAAATGATAGGGCCATCAGTCCGTGCGGGTGGCAAACAAACATGTAATTTTGACCAGGGTCCAAGTCATGGGTTTTAATTAACTTCATGGGAAAATAATCGGCAAAATGTTTGAATAAGACTGCATTCCTGAGCCAATAACACGGACGACCACCTTAATGATCATGTTTGTTTTAATTATATAAAATACTCTAGATTATTTTATAATACAGCCTAATATTTAGCTTAGTGTATACATACCCCGGTTTGGACTGTCTCGGTCAATGTACATAAAGACGAAATACAGCAAGGTGATATAATAATATGGTGTAAATAGCATGTATATCAGTATTATACCAGAAATTATGCCAAATGTAGGAATTAATTTATTTAAAATATATAGACCTCCCAGCGTTTGAAAGAATCGCTGAATTGAGCTAGATGTTTGAGTCATATTTTATTTCTAAATGGTTCAGGCTGATTAAATAAAATTTATTCTAAATTATAATTGTGCTAAAGATGTTGATTACGGCAATCTAGAATACAATTGAACCGCAATATTGTATTAGCATATTTGCAACAGTAATATTAGCAGCAAAAATTGTCCTTGCCAAGTCTGAAATGCAGTTTGCATATGAAATAATAACAATTTTACAATATTTGAGTTTTATTTAAAAAGCATTTAATAATCAGTTGTACTAAAAACACTTGAATATTAAATGTTATGATTTGTAAAATGCTTTATTGTAACTTTTAAACGACATATTCTTGTTTTGTATTTTTGTAAATCTGTTTATTTTTATTAAAACGATTTAATTTTAATCAAAATAATTTTGTTTAAAATTTTTAATATAACATTTATTGTAATTTAATTTAATTTGTAAATATTTTATTGTAAACTACAACATTTAAAACTAATTTTGCATTTTCATATAATTGTATAGTTTATAAAAATATTGTATATATTTTAGTAAAATTTTCTTACACTACATAATACTGGAAAACTTAATTTATATAATAATTTTCAATTAGGCTGAGTTAATAATTGATTAAGTTGTTGTAGATTTAGGCTTAATGGTCAGTAATACAATTGTCTTACATATGATTTTAACACATAAAATGCCAAAACAATTATATAATGGTTAGTTTCAAATTTTTGGATCCGTATTTGTCTTTGTTTTCATTAAATAATTGCCGCAAACTATCGATATATCGGTCGTGGAGTTCATTGATCTGTTCGGCCGACGGGTTGTCCACTTTGGCCACTGGTATAGGCTTTCCCACTAAATAATAAGCAATACTAATGTTTTAAAAATATATCTTACTAACAAATAAAATAATATTTTTAATATACAAATAAAAGTAAGCACTTTATATTATTAACAACAACAAAAATTATATTACAAGTAAATAATAAAATCAATAATTATTACCAACTGTTGTGATGGGGTGTCTAATGGGGAGCAGGGATTTGGGCACCGGTTGAGTGCATCCAAACGTTTTTAACATCCATTCCTGGTATCGACGGAACCGAGAGTTCGGTGCAAACGCTTTCTGCTCGAAGACCTCATTCTCGCCAAACGAGAGCACCGGTACCAGAGATGTGCTGCCAATAGTGCATTAGGGTATTAGACATTTAGTAATTCATCAAGTATATTTTGGTTACCACAATGTTTATATAAATTATAGTTTACAATAATTATAGTTATTTTATTTGTATTATTCAATTTAATAATACTTACCCCGTTGTGAGGGCTATTTTGACAAAACCCTTACGATTTTTGAGACACAGATTCATTGTGTTTGGATGTGCGGCCAACACTTCACGCCCGCCCCCGACTACCAGTGCTACCACTTGTCCGCCTTTGTTACCTTCTTTACCGCTATTCATTATTTTAATTAATTATAATTTATTATTATGAACATCTCTCTCTCTTCACTCACTCACTCAATAACTTTATTATTGATGTCATGTCTATATTTAATTCATACTTATAATTTAATTCTTAACAAGATTAACTATCTACATGAAGTGATAGTAAATGTAAACTTATAAACAGGTTTATCATTACGTAATTTACAATAAATAAAACTTTGATGAATTAATAAAAAATATCTATTATATTAGTTTTACAAAATAATGCATACCTCAAACACCATTCAATACTTTGCCGATTGGCGGCGATTACACCTAAATTAAAAATAAATTAAACAAGATACTAATGTAATCAGTCTAATACACAAAACATTAACAGTATTACCCATCGCGAGTGCAAATTCCCGGTGAATAGGGAACCAGAATTGAATGTCTAGACTAACAAACCGGACGAATAGGCCCTTAAACATGGTGGCAAAACCGGTCCGTTGTAGCGCAAAGTGGCCCACAAATGATAGCGACAGTAGTCCGTGCGGGTGGCAAATAAAGAAATAATTTTTACCCGGATCCAAATCATGGGTTTTCACCAGTTTCATTGGAAAATAGTCGGCAAACCATTTAAAAATGAATAGATTTCGCCAGATATGAAACCCACGGCCGCCTATGTAATGATGGTGGTTTATTTTTAGTTAATTTTATTTTGTTAGCTAGTTACAATAATATAATATTGTTAATTTTGAACATACCCCGGCTTGGTGTGTGCCTGTCCAGATACATGTAAGCAAAATAGAGCAAGCTGATGTAGTAATACGGCGTGAATAGGATGTAGATTAATAATATAGCAAAAAATATGCCATTCATCGGGACCACCTTGTTCATTATATAAAACCCTGCCAGCGCTTGCAAACACCTCATGATTAAACCAGTTGAGTTAGCCATGTTGTGGTCTCAATTGATCCTGATGTTTATTTATAAAAATGTAATTTTTACGATGATATGGATGTTTTTGTAAATAACCAAGTTATGAAAATGTTAGTAAAAATAATTATGGTAGTGTTTTATTAATTGCGAGCAAAACATATGAATATATTAAATGTTATGATTTGTATTTTAATTTATTTTATTCTTAAATAATTATTGTTTTCCGGCAAAAAATATGTTTATTTAAAACAATATTATTTAAAAATAAAACAAAATTTGTTTTGTATTTTACTTTAATATTCAACTGTAATTTAGTTGTCATATATTTAAAGTATTAGAAGTAAATTTAGGATATAATGTACAGTATATGTACAATATAAAATATATTATATTTGTAAAATGTACAAAATAAATAATAGAATAAATTAACTTTAAATATTACCTTTAACAAATATTTATAAAATTAATTTTATAATATTGATATTGCACTATTCATAAAGGTGCCTGTTTATACTTTAGGTATTTTGGTTAACTAAAACACTTGTTATGTAACATTAAATCGCAGTTAAATGCAAATGTCTGGGTATTAAACCTGAGGCAATAAATTATATAACTTATAAATAGGCAACAAAATGAATATAATCATTAGTTTTATAAGCATGAAAGTTTACAAAACTTACTGAAATATCAGCTTTTTCATCAAATGGTATTATAATTGTGTTAAGCAGACTAGTGCTCAAGGTTTACTACCTTTTATAATTTTTTATTTAATTCAAATTTTACAAATATAATGAATCAATCATTATCATTTCTTTATTGTATATGATTAATTGTAATTCTTAGTACAGTATTATAACATTTTAATTAATAAATATCTATTCAAAATATATTGTGATAATAGCTTTATTTTTAAAATATTAATTTTACTGGTTGAATTGTTTTTTACTTATAATCGGTGCATTGTCAATAATAACAGGAATTATAAAATGTGAACTAATTGGAGGGGTGGGGGTTAGGGTTGGATATGGCTAATGTCAAAGTGTAATAATGACCAAGAACCACCATTATTGGATTGCACGTTTTTACATGGCAAGTGAACAAAGTAAGCCAATTTTCCCATGTTAACCACTACAAATTATTTTATATTTCAATATAATTAATTGTATTTTTAAATACTACATTAAATGCTGATAATGGTAGTAAAAAATTTTTTGAAAAATTTCATTCCAATGACAAAATATCTTAAATTGAAAAATTCAGTTTTAGCCATAAAAACACAAAATTCTCGATATTTTCAACATATCATAATGATTATTTAAATATTAAAAACAATAATAAAGTTTTTGCTATTTAAAATCATTCATTTTATAATAAATACATTACATGGTATATCAGATATTAGGATAACCTAGATAATAGAAATAATTAACGTAAAAGTTAACGGACCTTTGCCCAATAAACATAATGTCCCAAAACAATACACTAACCGTACTATTCGTAACGTTCACTGACATGGAGTGCGTGGAGACGGCCGTAGCTCTGGGCGAGATTCTGGTGGACGCCGGCGGTCATCGGCCGGTCGTACTGACCGACTATAAACTCCGGGACAAACTGTACGCAAAGCATCCGACAATCCGATGGATAGTGACCGACACGAGCGTAGAGTCGGGCGACGAGTCGGACACCCAATCGGAAGTGTGGAAACGACTTGACTCACTGGTCGGTCGGGCGCTCATCGAGTATCGGCCGGCGGTTATAGTTGTCGACTCGAGCCGAGACTTGCCATCAGTCGCCCGCTCAGGCGTGCCCTGGATTTTGCTGAATACCAACAAACAGTCGTTGCTTGTCGTCAACAACAAATACGCTTATGATCTTCCCTTAGGTAAAAATTACCCTTAAAATGTACTTTATGTAAAAACAAGGTTCACACAGCGATGCTATACGTTAACCACTATTCGGGAAATGCATCAAAAAATTTTAAATTTTTCAATACGATTGTTGGAATACTTTCACTCTTGTTATTTTGAGAATTTTGAATATTTTTTACAAGAATTAGTTCTATTTATTATGTCAGATTCATTTAGTATATCTCCATAGAAAAAACATTATCCCATTAAAATAACATTACTCCCATAGACTTAGCATTACCCATGTTATCCTTATGCCATAGACTTAGCATTATCCATGTTATCCC